TGGGGGCGGTGTACTCGTCAGTCTAGGGTCCACTTGTGCCCTGGGGGCGGTGTACTCGTCAGTCTAGGGCCCACTTGTGCCCTGGGGGCGGTGTACTCGTCAGTCTACTGCCCACTTGTGCCCTGGGGGCGGCGTACTTGTCAGTCTAGGGCCCACTTGTGCCCTGGGGGCGGTGTACTCGTCAGTCTAGGGCCCACTTGTGCCCTGGGGGCGGTGTACTCGTCAGTCTAGGGTCCACTTGTGCCCTGGGGGCGGTGTACTCGTCAGTCTAGGGCTCACTTGTGCCCTGGGGGCGGTGTACTCGTCAGTCTTCTGCCCACTTGTGCCCTGGGGGCGGCGTACTTGTCAGTCTAGGGTTCACTTGTGCCCTGGGGGCGGTGTACTCGTCAGTCTACTGCCCACTTGTGCCCTGGGGGCGGCGTACTCGTCAGTCTAGGGCCCACTTGTGCCCTGGGGGCGGTGTACTCGTCAGTCTAGGGTCCACTTGTGCCCTGGGGGCGGCGCTAGGGTGTGACCCACAGTCTGCCTCTCCGTGCCGCTCGGTGACGCGGTGTATGGCGGCTCGGGTATACACTTTCGACCGATCAATAAGATCGGTGAAGCTGATGGCGTCGATGTTGATGTCGGGCAACTGGTACGACCGCACCTCCACACATTCCTGATCCCGGCGTCGGGCCAGCCTAACCACGACTTCTCGACGAATCTCCTCACCTGGATCAGCGGCGCGGCCAGAAAGACGGCTTCCGGGTGAGTCATGCAACCAATCCGCTGAGCAACTGGTCGGACTATACGTTGGACAAACGAAGACGCATCTCGGAGCAGCTGGACGCTGCCGAATGCATTTCGGGGAAGGTGCCCTTGGATGGAGTTGGAAGGAGTTTGGAAGGGGTCCTTAAGTCGTTTCTTTCCAAGCAGCACTAACGTCAACTTCCGGACAAATCGGGGAACGCGTTCCTCGTGCACCATGCAGCGGAGTTCGTGGAAGTATCGCAGGCATGTGCATTGTGTTGCGTGCGTTGCACACACGCAAAATCTTGCAGCAGACAATATTGGGCCGCTCACGGCTGCACTCAGACTTATGTTGGCTGAAGGTCATGGTGCAACTGCGGATGTAATCTGCAGTCAGTTGGCGTTCATCTGTCGAGAGACGAACCAAGTTACGTGCTAGGTGACACCAGCTTCGATATTCTTCTATTCGATAAACGTGCAGTTGCACCCTTCCGGCAGCTCAGTGACCTCTCAATGAGTCAGTTCATCACATCTCCGATTCAGAAGGAATCCGGCCCAGCCCTGAATGATCACATCGTTACCGACAAACTGGACCCGATATCTGATGTGCTGTTGCAAGCCAGCCACACCATCGACCGCGATCTGATTTCGGTGTGAATGACTGCTGCCAGGAACCGGTGAGAACCGTCGGAAATATTGGTCCGTTCCGCGCAGTGCCTCAACAATAAATCAGGCAGGATCCCCGATCGAGAAATGGGACGCTTGGTCGTCGGTTTGGGATCCGGTCCCCGATTTCCACATGCCGCTGTGCAAGGTAAAGCGGTGACACCCGTCCCAACCCTGGGTTCAACATGATGGCGTCAGAGCTGCCATCGAAGAACGTGACCAGGAGCGCACCGACAAAGAACGAAATAAATGCCAGGAGGCCGAGAAGAAGTTTTGGATTCGCCAGAATGCAGCCAAAACCGTGTTAAATCGTGCGTGCTTTTTCGCATTGTCTACTTCGTTTCAAAACTTTAAATTTACAACATGCAGACATCTGTCGTTTCCTAACACCATGCAATACACTCGAGGCAGACTACCAACTCATCCGAAAGAGATCCACACTGGGCCAGCAAACCGCACCAGTTCTTCGTGTCCGTGAGCCCAGTTGTAGCGGGCTCCCCGACCACGTTTCACGTTGGGGAGATTCTGCCGGCCCCGGTCGCCGTGTGCAGCGGCGCGCTCTCCCTGCGCCCGGCTGCATACCTCGAGCTGTTGGCCGCACTGCAGCGGACGGGCTTATCTCCCGCATATGGAGCGGGCGGCATCACCGTCGCTATGCTGAGAGCAGCTTTTCCCTGGGGGGAAGGGGGGGGATCACCTTCTCCAAGTCGTAAACAGCTCACTCGCGCCACTAACGAGGTGCCACACCACTGGAATGTCATTACAGGGATGCCGCTGTACAAGAAATGTGATCCTGGTGATCCGAACAATCATCGACCGATCACCATGTTGCCAATCGTTGCCGAACTTTGCAAACCCGTCATGTACCGGCAGCTGATAAATGACTTGTCATCGCATAACACCCTATGCCCTTGTCAATATGGTTTCCTTGGCCCCACTCAGGCGGCTGTGCTGAACCCCGTCACGTACGCGATTGAAAACATGGACAAAGGCATGATGACGTCGCTGGTCGCCGTCGACACGTCGCAGGCGTCTGGCAGTGTTGGCCATGGTCGCCTTTGGATGAGCTGGGGTGGCAAGGCATCGACGCCGCGTGATCTGATACGTTGCTCCAGACTGCACACAGTTATTACGAGGCGAAACCAGGGTTCTCGATGTAACACACGGGGCGGTCCAGGGTTTGACGCTAGGTCCAGTTCTCTCCCTGATTTTTACCAACGACTCGATGCAACATACATCGTACGGAAAGATAATTGTGGATGCTGTTAACGCCTAGTTTCTTGCCGCTGACTTGCCCTTGAACATTCTTGATTTTGAAATGGTGTAGATAAAAATGTGGGGGTAGTAAGCGACTGGTTTACTCAAAACATCCTGAAAACTGATCCTCTCAAGACAGAAATGGTTCTAATCAATAATCGCTGGCTAAATCGACAGTTTTCGGCAGTTTTCCATCACGTTTGGCAGCAATAAAATGAAACCCTCACAGAGCGTCAAGATTATAAGCGCCTCCAGGGGTTCGTGTCTTTCCTGGGAAGAGCACATCTCCATCATCGCGCCGCTGCCACGACATTCTCATTGGACTCGCTAGGATGCAAGAGCGTTTTGACGATGAAAATGAGCACTCACGCATTGGGGCACTTGTTTTTCCTCCGTGCGATGATATTGGCCGTATGGTAGGGCTACAACATGACACGGAGGCGACAAGAGCAAAGTGGTTCGAACTTTGATACCCGTATCGCATGAAATGCCACGTGCCTGTACTGAGCGACACCTACGCTGTGCGAAGTAAGACGGTACAAAGTCGACGAACTTATACGTAAACGTGATACCAGTCCTGCGACCTCACCGCTACCCACGTGGTAGAGATGCTATGAGAGCCTGTAGTACATACCCTGATGTGTTTGTGTTACTCGAATGTGTTACTCGCTCGTGTTACTCGAATAACGGCCGTCGAGCTGCTGCAGCTGCCGCTTGTCCAAACTGAGTTGGGCGCCGGTCGTCAATGTTACTTGCATCTGGTGAATGGAACTCGCTGACAGCAGACGTACGAGTATTAGCTGCCGCGAACGACACAACCTTGAGGGTTACCTTGACCTCCTATTAATCAAGGAGATAAACGAATCTTGTCGTGTAGTATGCAGCCTTTGTCTGCTATAAGGCAGCACTCGGCGGAGCTGCTTAGATCTCACCCACGACACGTGAAAATATTATGAACATCCATGCACGCTGTCACATGGTGGGAGGATGTCTGCTGATTAGTTTTACGTATGCTGGATCATGGTTTGATGTGAGGCAAAGCGTGGATGTCTGGAAAGGACTATTGAATGAGGTAATCGGTGGATAAGTCTGCATTTCAACAGTGTTGTTTTGTAGCCATGTGTTTTCTGCTCAGTTAACATACGGCTGCCTACCAATGTACTGCCCACTTCAGTGCAGCCATGTGTGCCTAAATATTTGGTATGCCCAAAAGCTATGCACACACTGTGCATCGACTGTCGCTTACCCTAGTTCCTTTTCGCTGCACTCTTTCCAGTCGATCTTTATCTTTTTGGAGACCTGAGGACCAGGCCTGTACACGATACTTTAGGTGTGGCTTGTGGCTGTGGTTGCTGCAGTACTGTTTAAAACCTGGAACAATAACCACAATGAGACAGCTTACTGCTGTCCAGGCATGCCGAATGGGCGCTTTAAGACGGAGACCTTAAAAACAAGTTATTTGTATGCCGGTAACCACAAGCTACCTATGCTTGTGTAATAATATGCTTATCAATGTGGCGGTCTCTAATGGTATGGCAGAATCGTACCCAGTTAGCCCGGACAGAAATCAAGAAAACGAACAGAAGCGATCTAGCTTGGTCGTTAAACTGAACAGAAAATGGTATTGTGCGGAGATTTCTGCCGGGCTTAAGCTAATCTAAGAGTAATCCTCGGTGACCAGGAATCCGGTTTGCTGAGCACTGAGGTCCAGTGCGATTCTTTGTCCATGACCATATTCGCATCACCATAGCAAAGCACGCGAAGAAAATATGGAAATGCATTGCCATGCCTTGCCTTAAAAGCCGTAATCAGATATCAGCAATGGCTAAGCTGTTTGACATCCATGCTCGGCACGTGGTACATTAAAACATTGATTATATCACAGCTGCCTCTAACTAGGAAGGTCGTGGCGCGACCCTGTTCGCCGCCGGTATCCTTGCGTCATCCGCTGCGCGCTGTCGCAGCCTACGACAACGAGCGCGTGTCGCGGGTTTCCGGTAGTCGGGCAGTGACCCAGACTGACCGCACACGCGCGGGATCGTTCCTCAAACCCGTCCGACCGGTCACGCTGAGCAGCACACGCACGTGCGTGCAGCTCTCAGTGACGTCACAGCAGGGGTCGCCCGCGCGGGAAGCGCGTGGCAGAGCGGTGGCTCGTGTTGGGTGCCTGACAGGGCAGCGCACACGTGTCCGCCGGTCGCCCGCGCTGTACTCCAGCGGGTCGGTGGGCCAGGCGCCGCCGGCCGGGACGGACGCCCACCGCGGGTCCGTTAGCGGGGGCGGGTGGCGGCGGCGGCGGGCGAGGACGGCGGCCGCCTCCGCCGCTCAGTGTGCGGTCGGCGCGCGACTCGGCAGGATGCGTGGGGCGACAGTGGCGTCCGGCGTGCTCCTTCTGGCGCTGGCCAGCCGCGCTCTCATCCTCATGCCCGACCGCTACTGCCTGGCCTGCATCTGCAACGCCTCGACCAACTGCTCGCCCCGCATCGGCTGCCGCCGCCAGCACGGCCAGCTCGTCTGCGGCCCCTTCCTGCTGACGGCTGATGCCTGGAGGCGCGCGCGCGCCAGCGGCGGCACCTTCGCCAAGCGCTTCCGCTACCTCAACTACCGGACGTGCGCCAACGACGGCGCCTGCGCGTCCGAGGCGCTGAGCCAGTACCTGTCGCAATCGGCATCGGACTGCGACGGTGATGGCCGCGTCACATGCAAGGACTTCGGCATCATGAACCGCGCTGGCGTGAGCGGCTGCCGCAATCGCACCGAGGCGCGGCGCATGATGCGCTCCACCTACTACCGCGTGCTGGAGTCTTGCCTGGTGGACGTGACGGTGATGCTGCAGCAGCCGAAGCTGCGCAGCGGCTGCCGCTACGAGGCGTGACGTGCTGCTGCGTGGGTGCTGTGCGCGCGTGCGCGCGCGTGTGTGTACATTACTCTGTGCTGTGCGGGAGTGTAGGAAACGCGAATATTGTGGCTGTGTTTGTTACTTGTTGTCGTCATGTCACAGAAGAGGCTCCATTACTGCGTTTGGCCATGTTCAGCGGGAATACAATGTTTAATTTATACCCAAACTCTTTGTCGTCGTACTCGTCGCAGCCTGTATCCACCGTTTTGAAAGACAACTGAATGTTGCGAGTTTTGAAGATCATACGAATGAATGCCCGTTTCATTAATTCAAACCCAACAATTCAGCCTAACACTGACATGAGAGGACATCTCACGTTACTTCACCGACACAGTTACACGAACACGGCAATAATTATTCAGTGCAACTACAGTCTCAGCAGAACAGTGCAGCAGTTCGGTCAATTCAAACATCTTTTAGCGATTGCGTTAGCACAACTGGGTACCTTTTCCGCACGTAAATTAAGATCCCTCTTCAACGCACCTCTAACGCCAATGTCTTACAAAACATGCATGACAAAAAATACGCAAAGCTGAGCGTAGCCGCTATCCACCACTCTATCGCCGCGTGGTCCTATTTGTGCGCTCACTTCTCACATGTGCCGGAAGATGGCAACCGATCGAGAAGAACCGTATGCATGAATCCGTAATCATACTCTGTACCCTCGTACCCTTGTACCTTACATAGCCTCGAACCTTACATAACGGCATGTCACACAAAATATTCCCCACATCCAGCACAGGTCTTAAGGTACAATACACTTCAGGGTAGCGCTCAGAGCACTCGGCCAAACGGCCACCAGCACGGCACTTAACAAACTTAACAATGACTCGGGCACTTAACAATGACTCATGCGAGCAGTTATGCAGCGTTTCAAACCAACACTTCTTAAGCGCACCCCTCGCTTTTAAGGCATCCCTAGTAATCCCTGGGTGAGAGCAGTTGGTCTTTACCTACAGCAGAGTCGGCACGATACCCTTGTCAACACGAGCTCAGGACGATTGAACCTGAGCTCCCGCATGGCATTCAGTCCTGTTGCTGCCTGCCTGTGGAGACCGGATCAGGACGGCTCATCCTGCAGCAGCGAGCCTAGTCAAACGTTCCACGATTTCAGAGGGCATATAATGTCAGTCCTGGTCCTGGAGCGGATAGAGAGTCCCAGCTCTGGTCCCGAAGCGGATCTGGTCTCGTAGTGCCAGCTGTGCGTAGTGCCAGTCCCAGCTCTGGTCTCGTAGTGCCAGCTGTGGTCCCGGAGCGATCATATAATGCCAGCTCTGGTCCCGGAGCGGACACGTAGTGCCAGCTCCGGTCCCGGAGCGGACACTTAGTGCCAGCTGTGGTCCCGGAGCGGACATGCCGTGCAAGCATGGCGATGGGGGTCTTACATGGGTTCCATGTAGCGTGCATACTCATATTGGTGAGCATTTGAGTTGCAATAAGCGATCAGCAGATGGAATAAGTTGCAATGACGAAACGTGCAAATCAACTTCATTGAGACAACTTTCGCCTGATAATGTCTTGTGAAATGCTCAAGCACCACACCAAAAATCCACCTCACGTACAGGATAGGCCACCGCCACATCCTGAGCAGCAAGAAGATAACATGATAGACAATCGTGGTGAACTGATGACAACTGCCTGGAAATAAGATGTTACGCTGGTGTTGTTGTCCTAAAAAGAGCTTTGCACATGACAACATGCACATTTGCACATAACAATATAGCTGATTTTGTAGACAATTGTGAGAAATTGGGAAATCATCTATCGACTTCAAATTGGTGATGTAAGCCAAATTTATGGATTGGTCGTGACGCTTATCACATCATCGTTCTTCCTATTTCGGTTCTTAAGCTGTCTCAAGATGTGTCGTAGGATGTGCACATGATCATGTTTGCTTCTGTTATGAAGTCTTATGAAGTCTTTGTTGTGGTGCACGGACAAATCAAATGGCCAGAATGCATCAAGCCACAACAATCACGGAACGATTGCCCGGAAGAAGCGTCATTTTTTACTCAGAATCGCTCTGACATGTGAATGTCAAAGGGATGCAAAAACTTCGATGCTTTGGGTTCTTTCGATAGTGTGGTCGACATGAAGCGTGGAGCATTTATTGGAAGTGCATTTCAGGCCCGGCCTGTCGTCTGCAAAACGTCGGAGACGACAAGGCTGTCGCACTCCCCGGGCTTACATAAGACCCAGAACCAGCTTACAAGGTAGACAGTCACTCTGCTGTCATCAAACCACTGGCTGTACGGCCCGGACCGCGAGCGGACCTTTTATTCAAAGAGAGAGAGAGAGAGAGAGAGAGAGAGAGAGAGAGAGAGAGAGAGAGAGAGAGAGAGAGAGAGAGAGAGAGAGAGAGAGAGAGAGAGAGAGAGAGAGGGAGAGAGAGAGAGAGAGAGAGATATATATATATATATATCTCTCTCTCTCTTCTCTCTCTCTCTCTCTCTCTCTCTCTCTCTCTCTCTCTCTCTCTCTCTCTCTCTCTCTCCTCTCTCTCTCCTCTCTCTCTCTCTCTCTCTCTCTCTCTCTCTCTCGCTCTCTCTCTCTCTCTCTCCCTCTCTCTCTCCTCTCTCTCTCTCTCTCTCTCCTCTCTCTCTCTCTCTCTCTCTCTCCTCTCTCTCTCTTCTCTCTCTCTCTCTCTCTCTCTCTCTCCTCTCTCTCTCTCTATATATATATATATATATATATATATGCGGACGCATTCTAACATGGGTGGCATCCAAACGATAATCTGGCTCCCGAGCAGCTTATCATGCATCACCGAAGACTCCGCTGCTGGCGCGGTTTCCAGTCGTTACAGGTCCGCTTCATAAGAAGCAGGTCTTCACCACACGACCGTCTACTACAGCATAAAGAGTGTAGACTGAAATCCGGGTGCGCTTGGTCGGGATGAGGCTAGGTCCCAGTAATGTATGTCTGCCATATTAAGAATAGTGTTACTGATGTTAGTAAACCTCTGAAAATACTCCAACGAGGATGAATTGATACCCTGCTGGTTTTAACGCAAAAAACGCTAAATGACATGTCTATGGTTATGTGCTACTGGTACAGTTTATGTTGGGCAATACAAGAGCAGGATGTTTCAAAAATACTTGTTCAAAGTGTGCATGGGTGTTTCTGGGTTCCATGTGCTCACTTCTTAATCAGTACCATGCGTGAGCAGAGCTTGTTGCATGTGTGTAAAACCCACCAGCTATGAGCTTTACCAATATTCTTCATTCGAGAATCTTTCATGCGCCGTATGGTGTTTTGGCACGCCCCCAGTTCACGTGGACTCGGCTTGCTCAGCTGCTAGCTCACCCTTCCTTGCCACACAGACAATGCGCTCCTCCCTGCACTGGTGCCTCGAGGTTTTGATTATGTGCGTGTCGTGACTGGCGTCACTGGATTATGATTATCGGAACCAGCGCCGTTGAATCGTCAGTCCAGAAGCTTCTGCACTGACGACGGAGATTAAAAATTTCCTTCGTTGAAAATGTCTGTTTTTTCGATTAGATTTGGTGAAAATTTCGGATATGGGCACCGGTAAAACGCTCACAAAATGTGCAGCAAGCGCTTCAAGAAATACTGCATTAGGATGAAACCCTTCCGTAATCTAGAATCCAAGTACTAGAGAATACAAACGGGTGGGTAACAGGTAGGTGCGACTGATGGGGTATGTCTAGCGCATGGGTATGACCACAGGTATGTGAGTGGTCACAGGCATATGGTAGTTTGCTTAAAGGAATTGCTTGCCGTAAAGGTTCCTCCTTGATTCGAAAGGGAAAAAAACACAGTACCATATGACGTTTGAAATATAGCGGTATTTCAGCATCTCAGAAAATAAACCTTATATTTGTGCGCTGTTTTTCGGGGAGTTAAGGGAAACCCTAGCCTTATCCTCAGTTTTGCTGGGGAAAATATCAATCTTGCTATTCACAACTAACCCATTTAGTTTTCTTAGCAAAACACATGTAAAAATGCTTGCTTAAAACCGTTGCACTCTGGAACTGGTGCATGCACAGCAAGGTGCACCCGTCCCCTACAAAAAATTGGTTCGGAAGCATTCAGCAATGGTGTTTTCGCTTCCACAGAACATAAAAAACCTTTTGAAATCGGCCTTGAAATTATTTTCAAAAATCGGCTCCATATTCATGACAATGCTCATTTTTTTCAGGGAAAATCAAGAACTGATCTATACGTTGGTACTGATATCAACAAAGCAATGGACAGAAATGCTGCACGCGTTATATGTTACCCGTGATATGCACTTTCCAACGGCATCAAAATTGTATAATTTGGGTTAATCGTCGACCTTCTGTGACCAAGTGAAAGGTCTTATTTAATAGTTCTCGGTAGTTTATGATATGTTTTCCTCCTATACTTAAAAATGTTGTTTTCATATTTATCCGCTCCCAATGGCTCTTCAGCCCGTGGAACCCATTATAATCTCCCGGATGGCGCCTCGCGTCCAAAAAAAAGTCGGTCCGGCCAGAGGGAGGGGATAGGGATCCCGATTCGGACCAGGCACGCCAAAAAACGGCACAAAGAACATAGCTGTCGGGAAGATCCTGATTTGTGCTTGAGCCGGGCGTCAACTGGCCGGTGTTAGCACCAGTGATACCACCTGTCAAAGTCCTCAGTTCTGTCGAAGTCGCATGACAGACCGATCGCACTGGGGTGTCCAACTTCGCGAGTTTACCTCTTACGTTGTTTGTTATGAAGTTAGTCGGCGCCGAAATTGACCGTTTCCATACATGCAGGGAAACATTTAAGACGCAGACCGGAAAACGTGTGGCACCAGAAGCACAAAGAGCATTGGACTTCCTGTGCATCGCATGGGGCAGTTCATTAGGACAGAAAGATGACACAGAAAAGCGGAGGTGGAAAATCCGAGAGATTTGCCGTTTCATTTCTGGGCTGCATAGCTATTAAGGAGGCAAGCCATTGGGCGTTTCTGAGATCGAGGAGTCTACGGGAGAACCCCAGGC